CAGTTAATTAGGACCTGAAAAACGCCTCTAATAACAAATCCGCTTAAAGCGTGGAATTAATCCCATAAGAAATAATGGAAACAGGTCAAATCGGGACCATGACATTGTACAGTACATGACACTCAAAAGAATTTATATCTTTTAACAATTATTTACCTTAGAAACATTTGTTAAACATTTAATAACACATTATTTTAAGAAATTATTTAACCTTACAAGTTATCTAACGTCCTTAAAGTTCATTGGGGTCAGGGTGTTGAGGCAACGTAGGTTGTGCCAGCGACCCGGTAGTCCGCAGCAACCGTTGCTGGTGCACACTCACTCCAGTGGTTCATTGAGACAAAATACTTATTACAATGTTTTAAAAATATATAATTTTACCATAATAAAATATTTTAATTTGCTTCGCTTCAAAGGTTTGGATTGATGGAGCCAGGTGTTGGGGGATGGAGGATGAGTTAGTGGATGAAACAGAAACAGGACTAGGTTGATTCTCCACTCCCACTCTACTTTTGCTGAATCACTTCTAATTTTACATCTGTACTGTACTATAGCTAGTGTGCTTCCTTTTGAGCACTGCACCACCCTGTTTGGGTTGGGAACTCATGGCGACAAAAATGATAAAATAATTCACCACAACATACACAAAAAGACACAACAAAGGCAGGAGTAATCACAACACAGCACCGGTCTGGGTGAAACAAAAAGGTAGACTGGTGTGTGTGTGTGTGCCAGGAAGAAGATGAAATTTCAAACGCTTCAGCTAAAATTTCGTAAATTTTATCGGGAGTTTTAAATCCAAAGATTTTATCCAGAATTTTTGAGTGGAATCCACTTAAATGCAGGGAATTTTTATGTGGATGATCACAAAAAGTTAACCATTTAAATGCGAAACCGTAGATACTGAATACTCTTATAACGAGGACCTCCTGTACTGTTAGTTGCTTGAGTTTTAAGAGGATAGAGGGTACCAGTGTTTATGTAGTACAGTACTGTATGTACAGTATAACTGCTGAAATTTTCTTGACTAGAGTTTCTGATTTTCAGGGAACAGACACTATAGCTGCATTGGCCTTCTTACGGAAGTACTACCATTCACCAATGGCGGGTTTCTCCATCCCAGCTTCTGAACATTCCACTGTCACCACTTGGGGGCGATCAGGAGAATCGAGTGCATTTCGCAACATGATGGAAGCCTTTCCTGATGGTGTATAAAGAACTTTTAACTTATAGCTTTAAAATTGTCCATGATAATTTGCAGCATTAGAATTATCTTCAAGTATTATAGTAGATTCTTAATTATTTTATGTCAGGTGATACAGTACTGTACAGTATACTGCATTTGTGCTCAACATTTTTTTTGTGGGTAGAGGAGTTAATATTTTTTGTTGTTATGTGGTGCATCCCCCCACACTGTTTACCCTTCAACATTTAATTGCCTTTTCCTGCTCTTCAGACCTTGCCTACCCCAATTACAGTAGCCTTGGGTTATTCCACAAAATAGGGACCTAAAACTTTTACAAAATAAAAAAAAACTGAAATGTACTGTACTGTAATTCAATACAAAATAGGGGCTAGGATCCAGAAACCAAAATAATTTACCAAATAAAGCTTAATTGGTTTATTTACTTGCTAAACAAAGGCAAGACAAGTAAAGTTTGGTGGTACACCACAGAAAAATAAAAAGAAATGTACAAAAACAAAGAAAATACAGTCACATAATACATCACAGCCTTTCGCCATTGACCGACCCAGCCTCCCACAGTTTCGGTTGTAATGCTGTACTGGATGACGGGTGTCCTTGTTTACAAGCATCTTGAGGTAATTTTGCTATAAAAGGTAAATGTTTCTTACCTTATGAAAAGCCTAAAAAATGAGAAGATAATTTTTTTTTACATTTTTAATATATATTTTTTTTTATACTGTATACAGTATATGGATGAAACTAAATCAGTCCCAGGTGTAAACTTGATAGTTTTTGTGTTGTAGTGCACAGCTGTGCATATGTTGAGGACAGCATCCACACAGTTACTCCCACTTCACATACTTTATAATCTACAAAGAAACAATATTTTAATCAAGTATGGTATTATTACTTACAAGAGGCTGAATATTATGTCATTCACTGGTGACTATTACAGTTCTCATTGTCTACTCGAAGTGCTGTAATCAGATCTTATTTTTTGTAGCATAAATGCTATGCCTGACATCTTACCATGTTTTACAAAAAATATATATATATAGTATATATTAATTTAATGAATAACCTTCTCAGTAGGCTATTTACTCTTCCTGTGATATTTCATGAAACAATTTTATGGTTCACCACAATATATAGTACGAGTTTGTCTCGTTTTCTGAAAAATGTTCAGGACAGTAACTTTCTAACAAAAATTCTACACTACAATACCATGAAAAACTTATTCCTTCCCATATTTAGGGTCTTACCATAAAGTAAGAAACCATTTATCTACTATAGAAAAAATTACAAAAGTTGTTCAAATGTCATGGTGTACAACCGTCTTGGTTCCTGACGCTGTAAGTCTGCCTACATAAACGCATCTATAAAAATGAAACAAAAGTTTTCCAGAAGATTCAAATAATAAACCAAAGACTATTTTTATCTGTTTCCTGCACCCTCCTCTATCATTTGGTCTATTCTTCCTTCACTTTTTCTGCCACAGCTGTGTCACCTGATGCAGCCTCCTCAATGAGAGTCATCCAGGGTAGCTCAGTATGTTTAATGAGGCTCATTGTGAAGCCAGTTTTGGTTTGCTGTGAATTTGCTGTCACTAGCTGACTTGCTATGTCTTTGAAGCTCACAGACTTAAATTTCCTATTTTTCCCCTGCCACTTATCAGCTTTCTAGCCATTTGGGCTGTTGGTCTATCCAGTGTTAGTACAGGAGGAAACTGGTGACTGGGAAACCTTTGATGTTTGCTTTTAGGGTCACACTGGATAACACTCTTCTCACATGTGTCTGGGCCAAAGCTCGAACCCTTGACATATTGATGAGAGTTGCGTGCGTTACCACTGTACCACCTGAATCATTAGACCACTCGGTGAAGCTGCACATCATTACATGCTCACTATCCAAGTATTCAGAGCATCTTCCTTTTCTTGGTACAGTGGCAGCCTTAGATGTTGGATGGTCTTGGATATAGTTGGCTGTGTAAGTGTGCATGTGTTGCTAAAATTTTGAGTCTTATGTCTGATGCTGTAAGTTGTCTTTCACTGTCAAGTTCATCCCAAATTTGAACATTCTTTTCTAGTATAAAGATTTTTCTCTTATTTTTCCTCTATTAATTGGAAAGAGAAGCAGCTGCTGAGCATTTAGACACCTTGGTAGTGGTGCATGTGGTAGACCCAAAAGGAATTGCAGAAGTAAGTGGAAAAGACCTTAACTGTGACTGCAGCCGGGAAGTGTGCGTGTGCGGTATCTGTATCGGCACGGCAGTTGGTTTAAAGTGACTCCGGTTTGCCTTTTTTTCTGGGAGGGAGTAAAATAGTTGTACAGTACAGTAATGTAGGCAGCTGTGAAATAAATAAATAAAATAAAACTAAAAATAACCCGAGGCTACTATACTATTATTAACTCTCTCTTCAACAATAAACTACATACTATGTTCTTACTCCTCATTTACTGATTTCCCAAACCAGTGTAGAAGAGATTAATACTAATACTATACTGTCTTACTAGGATAAAATCGTGTGTGAGAGAGAGAGAGTATATTTAAACTTAGCATACACCGACCATGTTAAGTTGTTGGGAGTTATAGATTAATGGCCAGTGTTAGAGTTAGTTTGGGTGTGAGAGCTGTAAGGTAACTAACATACATGTACTGATACTTGTAGGTCAGCATCACATTGACACTGAGGACATCATCTCTCTACGTGTTGATCATCATATTCACTCAGTTGTTTATGGATAATGTTAGCTAAATAATAACTAACTTGGTACAATTGTATCATAATGTAAGAAGAATATAAGTTGTTCTGAGGTTAAGGTTCTCTGTTTATGATGGAATATTCCTAATTGAAACTCCCTATTGGGTTGTTCCTTACCTATTATCCATAGTGTAGTGGGTTAAACAGAGATAAATATTTTGTTAGTACAGTAATATCTCCGTTAGCCAGAATCTCTCAAATCCAGAACTCTCCAATAGCTGAAATTAAATTTTTGGGGGAAAACCATTCCCTAAGCTGGAATTTTCCGGAAAATTATGGCTCTGGAAACGATATTCCGAGGGGCACGTTTTCCGGAAAATTCTGAGAAAAATTTCCCGATACCCAGAAAATTCTGAAAAATTACAGGGATAATGGAGGAGTTTTTTTTCCGGGTTTGAGAGATGAAAATCTGGTGCACGTTCCGGAAATTCCGCGAAAATTGTTCCGGTACCTGCAAAATTTCGGGGATGGGAGATATTTTTTCGGGTTTGAGAGCTGATGTAATGGGCAATTTCTAGAACTTACGAGAACATTTTAAATTTTTCCGTTGCCCGGAAAATTCGAGGAATGGGGCATTTATTCTGGGTTTGAGAGAGTCGACTCGTTACCCAGGAATCTCTCATTCTCAGAAGTGCACTGCACCAATTGTTCCGACCAACGAAGCTATCACTGTATTTAATATAGGGTAATCAGAATAGGACCATTCATAATGTACCTTTTTTCCAGTGTATGTTAAGTTGGGAAACATTTAAATGAATATATAGAGAGAGAGATGGACCACTTTTATACTGAATGTTACTATTTATTAAAAAAAGTTATATACAGTAGAATGTCGATTTAAAGCGATTCAATTTAAGATCATTGATTTAAAGCGACACCCACAATTAAGGACAATGTTTTAATTTAAAGCGAATCTTTCCTATTTTGCGCGAGTCAATCTGACGCATCCTATTTTAAAATTGCGCCTAATGTTTCTCTGGGCACGCTACACTGTCCTAAGGACAAAGCTGTACTGTACATGTACTAAATGATTACGTACTAAAATTTTTGTCAAGTACAAACTATAGCATGTTTATATTCAAATTAATCACTATCTTATAAAAATTCCAGCAATGTCAATTATATTCTCCCTGGTCACTTCTGTGACATTTTATTAATAGAAAACAAAAACTCAATCTAAAGGACATAAATAAACAAATAAATACAGTTGTACCCCACTTAACGCGGTCAATTGAACCCAGAGGGTCCCGCGTTAAGTGAAATCCGCGTTAAGTGAACAACAGAACATATGGGATTAATTCCAATAGAAACCGGCCCGATCCCCAAACTCCACTTTTTGAAGGCACATACCTATGTTGTAGTAAAAATAACATCTTAATTTTATGATGGTACATGCACACAATTAATACTTAAGAGAAATAGAGAAATACAGTCGCCAAGTTAATGTCCATTCAAATAATGGACTCAACTCCCTCCCCCTCTCACACTACACTGCCGGCTCTTCCCTCTCAGAGAAATTTTTGGGGGAAAACCACTAAATTTTAATAAATAATACCTCAAACTAAAGTTAGGATAATACAATTGACATTGCTGGATTCCTTGTAAGACCAGGAATATTTTGAATATAAATGTCATATATTTTGCACAAAAGATAACATAGTTACCTAGAGAAAAATTTTATCTAAAATTTGTATGTTTAATGCAAAATATATGATGTTTATATTCAAAATGATCACCAAATTATAAGAATTCCAGCAATGTAAATTATATTCTGACCGGGTAATTTGTATGAATTTTATGAGCTAAAACAAATATCTTCAGTTAATAAAAAAAAAAATAATCTTCACGACACTATCTGTCAATCAAAGTACCCCACCTTGCCTCCCCCCCTCTTCCAACCGCGCGGTCAGTCCCAACCCTCCCCCCCACCCCCCACCAATCCTCCCTTCCAGAGTTTTTAACATTTAGTATTAAATAATACCTCAGATTAAAGTTAGGATAATATAATTGACATTGCTGGATTCCTTGTAAGACCAGGAATATTTTGAATATAAATGTCATATATTTTGCACAAAAGATAACATAGTTAATTTGAGAAAAATTTTTATCTAAAATTTGTATGTCTAATGCAAAATATATGATGTTTATATTCAAAATGATCATCAAATTATAAGAATTCCAGCAATGTAAATTATATTCAGACCGGATAATTTGTATGAATTTTATGAGCTAAAACAAATATCTTCAGTTAATAAAAAAAAAAATAATTCTTCACAGGGTAACAGATGGTCGGTCGGTCCCTCCCTCCCCCCCACCCCCCACCAACCGTCCCAAGGAGATGTGTGGGATAACCACTAAATTTTAATAAATAATACCTCAAACTAAAGTTAGGATAATATAATTGACATTGCTGGATTCCTTGTAAGACCAGGAATATTTTGAATATAAATGTCATATATTTTGCACAAAAGATAACATAGTTACTCTGAGAAAATTTTTTATCTAAAATTTGTATGTCTAATGCAAAATATATGATGTTTATATTCAAAATGATCACCAAATTATAAGAATTCCAGCAATGTAAATTATATTCTGGCCGGGTAATTTGTATGAATTTTATGAGTTAAAACAGGCAGTCAGGCAGGGTGGCGGGTGGGGCAAATCTAAAAATAGCGTCTCGAGCCGGACACTCACCGCGTATATGTGGAAAAAATCCGTGTTAAGTGAAAGTTCAGCTCTGGCGAGGCACCGCGTATATGATAAAACGCGTTAAGTGAAACAGCGTTAGGCGGGGTAATACTGTACTTCACTAGACCTTCGGCGCCAACTGTCAAACATGTCACTGTCACCTCCTCTCCCTCCCTCCCTCCCTCCCTCCCTCCTTCCCCCCTTCCCAGCCAGGGTTGGGTGGTTATAGGCTTACAGTTTTTATCTTATATAATATCTCAGACTAAAGTTAGCAGAATATAAGTTGCATTGCTAGAATCCTTGTAAGACAGCGAATAATTTGAATATAAACATATATTTTGCGCAAGAGATAAATATTTTAGCCCTTTGTAATAAAATTAATTAGAACATGTCAGTTCAGTGACATTTTATAAGAGAAACTTAGTCACTCTTAAGGACAGATAAATAAATAAGCACTAGACCTTGGCATCAATTCTCAAACATATCACCTCACCTCCCCCCCCACCACCATCTTTCCATCAGCTCATCACTAGGAAACAGGCTATTTCATGTCCCATAAGTTTAGCTGTGTTGATTTATGAATGTTTGTTTGAACATAATACTACAAAAAACAATGTTTTGTTTATTCTAGATGGGCTGAGGTGCATCTGGGTAGACTGTCAGTCTTTTTAGTATTTTGTGTTTCTCTCAAGTATCAGACTAAATTATTCCATTGAATCAACACTTCGATTTAGTGCGTATTCTGTTTAAAGCGACCTCTCTTGGAACGTATCTCGTGTTACATCGACGTTCTACTGTACAGTACTGTGTATATATATATATGACAGTCGTCAGATAGTTGTTTTAGCAACTGTACATGACAACAAGCAGGTAGACTTCAACACAAACACAGTATAACCACCTTTTTTCTTCTCTATTTTTAATTTCTTTCTGTTCTTATTTCCCCCGGTCCCGTTGTGAGTCGTTTGATCTGTGCCTGGGTGGGCTAATTCCTGTAACAAAAAACAAAAAACAAGGGTGTGACAACAGGTAGACCACAACACTACAGTGGTATGACAACAATTAGGTAGACTCCACAAACTCCTACTTGCTCACACTGGATGAGTTTATGATAGTGTTCATATCAACAGGTGCTGTGGCATGTGTGAGTGATTCATACGACATATGGAAATGCTGCGAGAAGATATGGGGGGAGGAGCTGCGAGACGCTGTGATCAAGAGAGGCAAAAATGGAGGCACTCTGTTAATTAGGCCAGACAGTGGTGATCCTCCTTCTGTAGTTCTCAAGGTAAGTCTCATGTTGATTTAAAATAAACAACAATAAATAATGACTGTTTCATACTGTTTCTTTTTTATGACAAAATACAACTGAAGGCTCACCATCACTACCTTACCATTTTTGTGGCTATTTTCCACACTTGCATGGATCAGCTGTGATTATCTGATGGCAAGGTGTCCCGGTTGCCAGCAGATGAATTTGAAGCAAGTTTTTTAACTGGATGCTTTCTAATCCATTTTTATAGGGAACTGGGCATTATGTAAGACTTCCTAGCAACATCTCTGCTGCCAAGGCAGGGTCGCTACTTTCTGAAATAGTTAAAGAGTACCTGCCTGCCAGTTGTGAATATGTTTTTACCAAATACAATATAAGCACTAGTTCTATCCATTCTTCAGCTGTACTGCAGATGCATTCATATTCAGTAAGAGGCAAAAAGATACAGATGCCACTGATCACCTTTTCACATGACTCCATCAATATGAGGAATAAGAGAGCAGTAAGCTTAATTATGCAATGTTGTAGAAAGCATGTATGTGTTTGCTCTTCATAGTTACATACCCCAAAAATGTTTCTTCAGCATACTGATTCTAGTATTGACGAAGTTCTGCATAGAGGCAGGCTGAGATGGTTTGGGTATGTGGATGGAATGGATGAGACCAATTGGATCAAGAGGTGCATGAGCCTAAATATGGAGAGAAGGCGAGCCAGTGGCATGCCAAGAATGACATGGGGAGAGGTTGTAAAAAATGACATTGGAGTTAAGAACCTGACAAGGGAGACTGCAAGAGACAGTGCAAAATGGAGGGCTGCGATCAGTTACTTGAGGCTAACCCAAGTGTGGAAAATTATCATAAAATGTTAAATGATGTTATTGACCATTTACACTGTACAGTAGGGTGTGACAGTTGCCCTAACCTTGTCCTACAATGCTGTTCAAAATTTTGGTGTTGCATATTGACATAAAAAATACCCACGTGCAATTTTTTGAAGATTCATGCATATTTGAGTGAACACCAGCAATTTGAAAAATAGCGATTTTGCTTATACGGCATACGCGCCTATATATGAGATTACACAACCATCATAAGGGATATTAACACAAATCATTTGCCTGTCTTAATTAAATGCTGTTATCACTAACACAAAAAAGTTAATCAGTCTTATTCTCTCATGGTACATTAAGGGGTTTTATCATATATTCACAAGGTATTATTTCTCTAGAGCAAGAAACCATGATTTCTGTTCGGAAACAGATGATCGTTTGCGCTGATTAGGAACGCGGAGTCTGTCATTTTCAACTACTTGAAGGACTTCTTGAAAGCGCTCCTCATCCCTGGCAACATTAAGAAAATCATGGCAAAGTTTTGCACCATGCTCTGCAGCCTCATTGACGACCTGAAGCTTGTCCACAACCCGTTTCATGTTCAGGTAGTCGTCATGATCCGCCCATTCACTGGCTGGACTGTGGAGAAACTGATAGGGCATGCCTAAAATGGTGAAGAGCCGGCTTGAGTCAGGCTCAATTAGGTCCATCAGGGCAGTGTCACTTTCTGGGACAGGGGGAAGATATGACTTTCCATAGCCCCCATGATTGAGCCCCACTCTCTTAGTAACTTCAGTGCCTTCATGGCAAAAAAGGGCCTTCCTTATCTCCTCTTTTGTTCTTTCTTGTACTTGGGACGAGAACAAAGCCAGTGGGGCCAACTCCTCAGTTAGGTACCAAGTGTGTCTACCGAGTGCCACACACGCTTTGTCAACTATTGTGGCGTCATATGGGGCAAATTCAGCCAAAGTTTTGACCAAATTCAAGTCATTCAGTGGCGCACTTGCTGGAACGGGGCAAACAATCCACCATGGGACATAAACAGCGACTGTGAACACAGCAAACCGTTCTAACCTGCTGATTTGACTTTTAGTCACAACCTCGGCTTTGGGAAACTGCTCTTTGATCTGGCCTGACAAAAGAACAATCTTGAGGGTATAGAGCAGTTTAGCCATCCACCTTGCTTTGTGAAGTGCGCCGGGGTAGACCATCGTGAAGTTCACTGGCTCGGATCCTTTAGTTACAAGCAGCAGACAAAGCTCTACCAGCTCCTTGTAGTCGCCACGTGTAAATGGTTGGGCTAGAGATTCACGGAAGAAGTCAACCATCTGATAAAATGTGCTATTTTCACACTTATTTATGAAGTTCATAAGCTGAAATAGCAATACTTGCTGGTACGACGGTGCTAGCTCAAACATGCACTGATCTCAGAAAATTTACAGGGGTGTTTCCTAGATAAATACACATCACTAAAACTTTGAACAGCATTGTAGGACCATTTTCTTATTTTTGGAGGGCAACGGTCACACCATACTGTACAGTAGTTACATAATCCATAAAAACTTATGTTTTTTCAGTGTTTAGAAATTCTTGGTAAGGCTTATGGAACAACGGTAAACTCCAAAGGTTACAAACTTCTTCCTCCGTATTTAAGAGTGATTCAAGGTGATGGCATATCTTACAGAACCATAGGTGGGTAACTGGCTCCTTATACTGTGCACCCAATTGTACATAATCACAGAGGGAAATTCTTAGATTTATATGTTGCATTTTCTCCAACTGAAACTGTTCATATTTATTATACAGTAGATCCTCAATAGAGCATGAAAATGGGACAAAGTGTTATTGCACAATATCAAACTGCATGATATGAGACAACAGTAAATAAAGGTAATGGGACCACAGCTCCCCAAAATAAGCTGTAAAAGTCCTTAACCCATAAATGATGGGGAATTTTTTACATACACTATTTTGCTTTGATGGGGAAAGATTACGGTTTAAACAAAAATTTAAAATTTTAAAATTTTCATGTGAAAATGGCAAGATTTGCTCACTGTTTACAGTTTTATCTTCAGTTGCACTTATACTCTCTGATTCCCATAATAATTACTTATTTTTTTGGGTGTCAAGGCAGTAATGTCACACTGGAAATACCAGATACTTTCTCCATGATGACAAAAACACTACCGGTGGAGGGAGGGATCAAAGTGGGAATGAAAAGACTGTATGCCACTAGTCCTAATAAATCACTCAAGCAGAAATCAGGCACCAAACTTAAAAATAAGGTGCGGAAAAATCCTGATTATATACTCTAGATGATTACCGTTGTGTTGGACAGAAGGTGCTGATCAACTATTTATGATCGCCGTTGGTTAAAGGTTAAGACACCCCCTTTTCTTACTTCAACACAGTTTTTACAAATTATAACTCGCTTTGGGTCTGAACTTCTACGTCCAAGACTGCATTTGTTCACACTCGAGGTGATAGATGGAGCAATAGAACTCTGGGTGTCAATAATCGTGTGTGATCTGAGTAGCTGTTGTCATCTAGTGAGGGCTGGGAAACTTTAATTTTTCATCAACTGACCCATTGTCTTCATTTGATATCAATCCTTAAAAAAAAAACATATTTAACGAAACAAAAAAAATAAGGCTTCCCTAAGAACTGAAATATTAAAAACATATTGAACCCTTAAGCTGCAGCTTGTGGTAAATTTGTTGTGTACTGTATGCACAATTATCCAGAAAAATTTGAAGTTGTTAAAAATTTATTTTCAAATTACAGAAATAGAAATATGCAAATAAGCTAATGGGAAATGAAAAAAAAAATCATTTATCTAATTTGGTTTAGCGGTTGTGTAGTGGCTGGTACTGGGTCACTAGATGGAGGCAAACATATTTCATCTATGACAACTGTGTGTGTGTCGAGGTGCAGTTAGAAGTCCAGGCGTGCTGTCGAGGACATAGATGCCTATGGGACACAATCTGTAGATGTGCCCTCAATTTTAAAAGTTGACACCAAATACTTGACAGTATGACTGAGATATGGTACATTCCTTTCCAGAATATTCTCACCTTAAGTTTATCTGATTTTATGACCAACAACACATGGTAATGGTAATCTTGCCTCCTGAATGATTCCTGCTCCAGCTCTAATGTAAAAATATTGTGGTGATATATCAGTTTCTTACATTAAATTATCACGTCACTTGTATATTGGACTTGAGAATTACTGCAGTTACAGATGAGAAGAGAAATTATTACTTGTAGGTAGAAGGGCAGCTCTTAAGTGATTCTGAAAGGGGGTTGTTTTAATTTTTTCACAAAAAGTAATAGTACGACTTTTCTTCTTAATACCACCAGATGTAGCACCATCTACTTCCTGTTTTTCTCTCAGTACTGGAGGGTATAATGAAATGTTTGGTAACAATATGAAATAACCTGTAATGTACTGTACACTGTAAATATTTGCTGTCAAGGAATGAACATGGTGGACCATTTAATGTAGTGTAATTTTTATGGGTTGCTCAAAAACAAAATAAGGGGAATAATTTAGGGTGCCACATTATGTAAGAAGTCCAGTATTGACTTTTGCTGTATTGAAGGTCTACTGTATAGCCTATGCAGTATGGTAAAGGTTATTTTAGTGTGCTCAGCAAAGCCTGGGTAATATTGTTCTTAAGTTGTAAACCCATTTGTGAAGTACAGTAATCCTGTGTTTTTCGTTTTTTTTTTATCGTGCTTTTGACCATTCACATTTATTTTTACTAAAAAACCATATATACTGTACATGTATATATCAAATATCCTTCAATTTTTTTTTTTTAATTTCACGCCATTTTTTATATTCCCGTGCGGTGCAGCAAACAGACGCCACCCTTTCCCGCTGCTCCGAGAAGCCTCAGTCCACACGTGCCTACCATACTGTGAACGCTACTGTGACTGCTTGAGGGCGGGCAGATGCCGGGAGAGGCTGGCAATGCGGGTGTTGCCGACCTAGCAAAATAAAAAAAATTTTATCTTAATTGTAAATAAAAAATTTTTGGTATATAACTGTTTATGTTTTTCCATTATTATACTGTACTACAATAGGATTAGTTTCAAATACTGTTGTTAGTAAATGCCGGTACAGTGCATCAGTGATCAGTGTGACCACTGGGCCGTGAGTGGAGAGCATGGCGTGGTTAAGTGCATGACCTACCTGAGCTGTTTGGTGGCCACAGGTACAGTGATTCCTAAAAGTCTTCGCTGTTTTGGCTTTTCATGGGGGTTTCAGGAACGTAATTCCTGCGAAAAACACGGGATTACTGTACAATGCTTGTCTGAATATCCTAATTTTGAGATGAAGTATTTATGAGTTATAATGTATTTCAGGAGTTGAAGTATTTATAGGTTATAATGTATTTCAGGAGTTGAAGTATTTATGGGTTATAATGTATTTCAGGAGTTATATTGGAGAATTTGAAGGTTCATGGTTGGTGTGCTGCAAATGTTGTCTTTGGCAGTGGAGGATCCTTACTGCAGAAGGTATTGTGTTCAGGATTCATGGTTGTTATATACTTCTCTCTTCTGACTCGGCTCAAACATGTACTGTCTCACTCTAACTGTCTTGTGTGTACCACTTTATTTTCAGAGTACAGTATTCCCATTTACCATATTCAGGTACTGTCTTTGTTACATTTCTCAACAGTGGTTTCCTCAAGATGTCTCAACCACCAAAGTGTTCTGTTTTTACATAGCAGAACACTTAACTACATTCTTATCCTTAACTGTCTGGCACAGTACTGATGTTTTTGTAGTCTTCCTTACTTCAGTTTCTCTTTCCTGTGATACGGTTAACTGTGGGTTCTTTTCCCATATTTTCTTTAGTTTTATATATTGTTTAATTAATTCAAGTTAGTTTATTGCCACAAAATATTAAACCACTACAGTATTCTTCAGAAAGAGAAATGGGAAAATCGAGGTTCAAAATTTTACATTTAAAATTTTTGTTCTGGGCTTCTATTTTATAATGTTTTCAGTGACTGAATTGTGAGAGCAAGTTAAACTAAAATTAATCTTTAAGACAAAAGAAATTAGAATCTAAGGCCAGAGTTGATGTCTGACGTTATCTAATGATGGGTTAGTATTTGGAGGATGTGTGTTGAAAAAGAAAACCTATAAAGAGAGAAGTATACAGTGGTGCCTTAAGTATTCTAACACTTCTTAACATCACAGGTTGATCGTGACACTCAGAAATGTGCTTATAAGTGCAGTTATGCAGTCATCAATGGTGAGGGTGTGGATGTGTACAAGCAGCCAATAAGTGACCCCAGCAAGACTAGCAAGAAGGGACGCTTGGCTCTACACCACGTGAATGGAACTTATGTCACTCTTGAGGGAGGAAGAAGTGATCCTAAACTGGTGAGAGATTATTTATTTCTTTAAGATAGTCATTATTTTCAATGCCCTGTTTGCATTTAATATCCTAACTGAACACTAGGCTGGTCAAAACAAATATCACATTAACACATTCTTCTATATGCCCTCCTCTTCTCTACAGCTATTCCTCCAATTCATTACTAGCAATTATCCTGAGTCATCTCATCCATGCTCTTATCTTCTTCAGACAGTCATTCCTCCTGGTAGTCTTCTCACAGCCACTAAATTCACACAGTTTAGGTTTCTTGAATTGTCCATTAAGTTATAATTTCCTCTTCTGCAGTGCTTCATATCACTCAAATTAATACTTTTGTTATTTGTACAGATATCCTTTGAGATATAAATGGGTAAAAAAAAAATGGTGAATTTTTGTATCATGAATAGATAAACATAAGTGAAAAATGGGGTTTGGTTCCCCAGTGACAAAATACCCCAATATCACCCCGAAAACATGAAATTGTTTCACAAACAAGAACAAAACCTACCTAACTAATGATAAATACTGTAGTACACAACTACTCTAATTTACTACCTATCACATGAAAAAAAAAATTCTGTTTAACTTATGGGAGAGTTGAGTAAGGGCCTACTCAGCGAGATGAGGAGAGTTGTCCACTTCATCACTGCTATCTGCCAAGTCCACCACAGCATGCTTGTAAATTATGGCCACAGTAGAAGCAGCCAGACCAAGATCTTTTCCAGCTTTGCCTCAAGAGTCACAGCCTTTCATGGTTTCTTTGGTGTAGTACTGGTAGCTGAATATTCAGAAGAGTGCTTGGATGCCATAATGAAGATACAGTGAAAGGATGGCACGAATACACACAGATAAAGAAAGCTCACTTCACACACAACAAATGGAAGGATGCAGGCTTGTGGTAGGGTGGGGGGAATGTGATCAGTGAGCAAGAATATGTTTCTGCAGCTCTCTCCCCAAGATCACCACACAGCTGATTCCCAGCATGCAAAATTAAAATTTTTGCCCGGACCCAAATTCGTATACCGGGTAAGCGAGGAAACATTCATTTCTCGAAAGAGTGGTGTTAATTTAGGAAATTCATATCAACGAATTTTCATATCACTGACATTCGCATCTCAGTTTAGTGATAAATTTTTTTTTAACACCCTTTCTCATTTAACATTAGGTCAATACTTGGTTTAGTGATAGCTTGACTTCTTATGATGGGGGAAAACTGGGGATAAAGTGGCTTGTGAGATGGCATGTTGCCTTTGTTACATGTACAGTAATGAAACTATAAAGGTTGTGGAAAAATCATTACAATACTGTACTCTAATGTGGCTAAAAAATAAAGAAAATATAATATAGAACTATAAAATAAGAAATATAAAGAGCGATAATTTTGATTATGTTACGTTTTTCAGGGACACATCCCTATTATTATACGAGGGATATCTGTATATGCCATGATATTACAGCTGATTTTGCTCTACTTAACCCCTGGGCTTCGGGCTTATGGTCGGCATCCCCCCCCCTCCCCTCCACGCAGGTATATTCGGGAACTTTTAAAAAACAAATAAAAAGCAATTCTAGTCTTAGAAATGGGCCATGCTTGATATAAACAGGAAATAAATATATGATCCTTACCACAGGTTGGCAACACAGGAGCTAGGAAGAGTCAAGAATGTTCATGAACTTTTTTTGTGTTTTTGTGTGACTTTTTTTGTTTTTGTGTGTGTGTGTGTACGAGGTAAACAACACTAATTTGTAGGTACAGAACACATGTTTTACTATGTTATTACTATTTACACTATTAACAATCATTGTTACTGCTCTAGTAATTGATAACAATACTAAATATGTGCTTGGGGGTTGGGGGCGTAGCAACACAAGGTGAAGTGAGTAAAGTCCATGGGCGAGATGCCTACATCACAAAGGCTGAGAAGCTACGGAGAAGAGACGGGGAGGCCAGCCCTTTTTACTCAATTGGCTCATGAAACATCAAAATGTCATATGCAGTATACTGTACTGTAATGTACTTAACAACTGTTAGTATACACTTCTTTGTTTATATTATATCAACTCTCAACAGACTTACAACCGTATTCAAAAAAATAAATTAAGTAGTTGAGAAAAAGACTAAAATGAACATAAATGGTCACCTTTAGGTGTAATGTTACCCCTAGCAAGCCTTTCTGGCTCATGAGACAACGTCACTCTCGTGTGGCTAGTATTTATATATTAACCCTTTCACTGCGTGTCACACACTTGCCATTTTATTTTGGCTACTGCCAGATGATTTTATTCAGCTTAGAGTAACCTCCTGCTGTGAAAGGGTTAAGAATTGAAGAACAATCATCAACACAAATGATATACCTGGTACATATTTTGGATTCTGTGATATGATATATGATGTCACTTACAAAAGTGAAGCCTTTGAAGAGACACGACAAAAGGAAAAGAGGAGACAGTGGGGGTGGGAGAAGTAGGGCAGAGGTTGTTTGACATTTCAAACTAGCTGACATAATCCTATCTCATTACCTTACTTGCATTCTCGCACCACACTCGGCTCATCAACTTTGAAGATAAGTCATCAGCAGAAACAACTGGTGTTTGGGGGAAAATTATTGCATTGAGAGAGGCTGGCCATACAATTGCAGGCATAGCAAGAGAGCTGGGAATATCGAAACCAAGACTGTGACGTTGGTGGTGAAGATGGGAGGAAAGTCTAAACCGACAAATGCAGTCACCATTAGGGAACGGATTCAACTTGACGTTTCTGTAGGAACTGTGAGAAGGCGGTTACATGAGGCCGGGATACACCATGGGACTCTGGCTGGGAATCTTTTGCAGCGCTACCACATGTCTCAGGGACCAGGTTCACTGTTAAAGGCAGGAGTGAAGACAACTGTACCTCACCCAGCCAGACTCTCTATCTGTGTGAGTGTGTATGTGTGCCTATGAGTGATTGTGTGGAAAGAATAAGACGTGGTTTTAGTGTGACTAGAAGCATATTCTTTACACACCTAAACATACAGGAGCCTAAACAGTATTTTGCCTAGTTTGAACACCTGATATGACCCCTTCATCAATCTGGAGCTTTCAGTTTACTTAAAAAACTTCAGGTGTTTCAGATCAAAGAGGAAATATCTGCATGATGCTTCACAACTATACGTATAATAAATTCTTTTGTCCATTAATCCATCGACTGTATGGTTTCCCCTTTCATAGTTCCACTTGTGGTAGTGAGAGGGGAATATGAGTGTTGTCAATCTTCCATCATTCTTTTTTACTTCAACCATCAGTAGCCTTGATGATGGTCAGTAAGTGGGCCGACAACTGCAGGGTGGCATGTTAGTTGTGTATCTTACTTCTCATGAGATAATAGGAAAACAGTATGACAATGAGTTTTGTATGGCTGTCTTTGGGGAGGAGTATTATATTTGATGCCACTTTCAAGATGGTAAAAACTTTTCTTTTCCAAATAAAATTGTTGCAGATGGGGAGGGAGGGCTAGGTCACAGTAGGGCCACAAAGAATGGATTAAGAAATAAGATGAATGAACAGAAAAAGTTCCTATAGTTTATTCTGTGCACAGTAGTCAAAGAAAGAAACAAACAAAATATATTTAGACAGAAGTCAAGAGAAGAATTTGAAAGGTATCTAGAGAATAATGGTGTTTACAGAAAGGTTTGGATGATGTCAGACCACAGGTATCCAAGAAAACAGTCATTATTATCAAAAGGGTGAACACCTAATGTCTATAGTTGAGCTTACATGAAGGACTGAGGCCATTAAGTCTACCACCTGAGCTTTTTACTCTAATAGTAATGCTGTTGGTTCTCCCATTACTTACTTGATACAGCAGTATAATACAACTTAAGATCAACTTTGCCTTGTTCATAGTTCTCTAGTCTACTCGTATAGTAGGCAGAAGAACATATGAGTATACCACACCTTGGGCTCTTTTGTCACTACTTAACTTTAACTGATGTTCAGTACTTTGTGGGAACAATATGAGACCATGGACGATAAATTTGGGTACTGTATATGAGGGCTGTCACTAGTCACACGTAAAATTTCGGAACCTACCGACCCCCACCTGCACAGATAGTTGTTTTAGCTACTGTACTTGTCTCATGTTAAGTTCTTTAGTATGGCATATTAGAGTAACCTCATAGTCATGTCATTTAGTTTTTTAATATAACATCACTGTCCACCACAGGTGAACTATTCTGAGGTCTTCAGATAAAACTTTTCTTGTCTATTCTCTGTATACCTTTATTTGACTGATTCCTTGCTTCTTACTTGTTCCCTTTATAATATCTTAATGAACATTACCTTCCTGCTAATTCAGTTACAATATATTTAGTTGTATATGTATCAAGAATAGTGCTATTGTACACTATAATATAATGAGCTACAGATTCACTTGGTAGTACTGTACTGTAAATAGTTGTAGATACTGTATGCTAGATATAGATTAAATTCTGTAACCTTTAATATTCTGTGCAGTATATAACACATTATTCCTTGTGTTGACGAAACAGGCATCCTGCGTGTGTGAAGTGATACAAGAGTTCTTCACAAAGGAACCACACTACTGTCCATATCTAATACAGAGAAGGCCTCATTGTGTTCCTCCTTTAAAACTTACCTCTCGCTCATCTTCTTGTGAGATACAAACTCAAAGAAAGACTTTGATTTATAATACTGCATTCTCTAATTTTAAGTCTTCCTCTACTTTGTGTAAACATAATCCTAAAGAAAATAAAAAGCCCTTGCAGGGAAGCAAGAAGAGGTTACAGAAAGCTCCTTATGCAACCTCATCATTTAATCAACCATGTTCTGGTTTACTACACAATAAAAATATGTTGAATTCCCAAAACTTGGCTTATAAGATAAATCAATGTTGGGATGCACAAACACCCCAGCCTCCTGTTGACTCTTGCTCTACTGCTTTATGTGCGTCACCTCCCTTCTTTCATTATTCTCCTTCTGAACCTTTCACATCCTCACCTTTCGTCATAGATGCGGTCATCTCTCAACTGAATGGCAAGGTGGGCTCATCAACAATATTGCCTTAATAGACACACACACACACTCCATATACCTGTATCTAATGTTTTTTTTTTTTTTTTTCCAAAATTATCCCCATATAAAGCTTCAAGTAGTTTTCTCTGTGTTGTAAAGTTCACTGATTAAACTGCTTCTGTATTTTTTCTGAGCATCGTGGATTTTCCTGTAAATATCAGTACTCCTGTGTAAAAAACAGAGATATGCTCTCATATCTGTTGTACTTACAAGGTGATAATAACACTGCCGACTAAAGGTGTTCTTATGAGAGCAACCAAAATATAACCTTCTCTCTGTTGGAAGATCATATTGTTGTACCTCAGTGTAAGGTTGGCCTCCTTTCTATAAGGTCATGATCATTATATAAGGAAGGAGATTGGTTGTTCTCAGTCAGAAGCACTGTTATTGTAGTGTCTTTGGCCTTATACATAGGCCATCTGTATCGGGGACTGACTCACATTCTCAAACCTAATACTTCTACATGTTTTCTTTATTTTGTGAAATTATTCAATGTTGCCTAAAGATATTTTTTCTAGCTTTGCTTACTTTTGTCCATATTTTTCACATGTAAACACCTATTATTCATTACTAACTTCTTATTGTATATCGTTGTAGAGTGTAGTGAATGCCTTGCTAATTTTGTAAATAAACCAGCATGCAATACTGTATTGTTATGCTTTTACTAACAGGTCTGAACTTGGTTTTCAGTTGCCTCCAGTACCCTGCTGATGTTAGAGAAGGTTGACCAGCTAATCTTAGTTTACATTGTACTCTTTTGGTTTAGAATCATTGTCAAGTTCATGTGCATCTGTTATCCATTACAGTACATCATATTTGCCATAATCACCTTCTATCCTAAGGCCCATTTCTTCAAATCATTTTCCTTTGCCAAAACAAAAAGTTTGGGATGTAGTACTGAAATGTTCAGTCTGCAAACTGGGATGAAGGTTTATGCATGTGTATTATCAAGAGATGTATTATTCACAACATTATTTTGTTGTATGTTCAAGATGATGGTAATAATTAAAGGTAAATTATTTATTTTTAAAGCTTTTATCAGAATTTCATGTCAGCACCTTGTCATGAGCCATGTAAGATGAAACAGTGTTCATGTTTATTATGAACACAAATTAGCTTCAGGAGTGTATTGTTATGGCCAAGGTTGCCAGTGACCTTTAACTGAGAATATATCGTGGACTTTATTACACATTAATGATGGGGTTATAAGGTCATGGTCATGGGAATTTGTTACTTTCTCTATAACTTACAAATTCTTCAAGTTGTAGCGGTTGTGTTAATGTTCTTCCATCTGCTTCTCCCAGATTACTCTCACCTACACACAATATACCCCTACAATTATTTATTTATATTTTGCTATTTATGGTACTGTACAATATACAGTTTTCTCTTTATTCATAAGAAAAATTCTGTGGTTACTTACTTACAACGCTTAACAGTATGTAACAATCATCTCGGTGAAAACAATTGTCGACAACCAGACTGCCCAGAGTTCTGTTTCACCTTTTTTTATTGTTGATGTAACAGTTTTAACAACCTTGTTATGTGCTTAAAGACCTTAGTTATTAAAGCACCTTTAACAGTCCAGATAAGCAGTGTTACCCCCCTTTTTTTCTGACTGGAGTCTTCCTCAATTAGTCCAATTTATCGATGTTCTACTGCATTTGGCAAACTTAACTTCTTATGGAAAAAATGGGGTGGTGGGATCATGGACGCGTATGGACTTTTATCACATGAAATGCATACCTTTTCAACATTTACAACATGCACAAACATGATGATAATAGAACTAACTTACCATAAAAAATTAAACATATTAATGATAAGCATTATAAAACCATATTAATGTACTCACCGATCCATAGTAAGATGATTGTGGTGTAACTATGAAGACAATATTGTAGATGTTGTGAAGCCTTTGGATGACGGTGATTGATGAAGAAGACTTCGTTGATGATGAAACTGGAATGATTTTTATTTCTCAAGCCGATGTATCATCAGGATCATCGGCTTAAGGCTCTTGATCGGTAGATGATGATGGTTGGGGTTCATAGAGTTCTGGTTCGGCAGACAATGTTGATGGTTGGGGTGACCATGGCCTCGAGAAGAAGTCTGTTATTTTCTATTCTTTGGTTTTTCTATGCATATCTTTCAAAGATTGTCTGTAGGGCACACAAAGATCAAGGCTCCTTTTGAACTTTAAACTTCTCTACAGTATTGGATCCATGTCAAAACACTTCTCAGCAGGTTCATTTGCTTGCAGGAGGAATTCAGAGTTCGCCTTAATTGTTAATTTAGGTTTTACGGATCCCACTTCAGTATCATCTGCTATAAGCTCTTCAAGCTCATCATTTGTTGGTGCTTGAAAATGAGAGTCCAACAATTCATTCACCTCCTCTTTCTGCATGTCATCAAAACCCTCACCTCCAATTTCCTTTGCAAGTTTCACAATTTCTGCGATTTCCTTGTCAAGTGTCAGAAATCCCCTGAAATAGTGAACAATTTCAGGCCAAAGTTGGTGCCAGCAAGTGTTCATGGTGGAAGGCTTCACTTCATCCCAAGACATTTTTATAATGTCAAGACAGTCTTTGATATTAAATGCCCTCTAGAATTCCATCGGTGCTTCAGTTCGTTGCCTATAAGCATTCCTGGTGTAATATGACTTAAATGTCTTGATGACGCCTTGATCCATTGGTTGCAGAATTGAAGTGGTATTGTGGGGGGGGGGGGCAAATGAAGCTTATTTTTAACTTTTAAAGCCAGGGGATTTTCCAGTTGGTACACAAGAATGGGTTTACACTTAAAATTACCAGCTGCATTACCACAAAATAACAATATCAGCCTGTCTTTGAAAGCTTTAAACCCTGGAGCAACTTTTTGGGTCTTTGTAATGTTGGTTCAATTACCCATTTATGAAGAGGCTCTGCAGCTTCTTTGTCTGCTGATCCAGCCTCTCCCTGAAGCTTCATATTATGTAAAACAAAGCTGCATTAAAAATTTTCAAAGCACCCTTTGCTTGCTTGGAAATCAGTCACAGTCGCTGCATCACTCCCTGCCCCCTCTGTATTCACAACATGAGCATATAAGCTATGTGCTTTCTCACGTATTGCTGCACTATTAACAACAGATCCTTACTCATTCACTTGTCCACTGATCCCAACATTTAATAGATTTTCATTTTTTCTGAGTACCGATCCTTCATTGGCACTTGGGCCACCTTAGCACTAAGAGAAGCAGATGCTGTCACAGTTGCACATATTTTGTCTTCACAACTACAAATTGTGCGTATGGTGGATTCATTTACAGAGTTCTCATGGGCAAGGGTTGCTACATGCGCTCCATCATGTAGCCAATATAAAATCTTTATTTTCTCAGCCAGTGTCATCACTTTTCTGCTGTTCTTTGGTATGCTACCATCACTTACATCACCTCTGCATTTGGGGGCCATACTGTTATGGTGAGACTTGGTGTGTGTGTTCTATTCCAATTAGTCAAAATTTAAATAATGTTTACAGAAAAGATACGAGCTTATGAAACAGAATATCAGGGAGAAGTTAGGGAAACTGCTTGAGAATATAGGAGAACAATGTGCAGTTAAAGTGTGGCGCTGTACAGTATTAGAAGAGCCACCAACTGATGAAAGTGTTCCTCCCTTAATACTCCCAGACTGGTGTTTCTGTGGCCAACAGGTCTTCTCCTTGTTGCTTCATATGTACCCTCTTCGTAGTGTATAATGATGTGGATACTATCTTTCTGTTTACGTTTTGGTTTGTGCACAATAAGTGTTTTACTGTGTAGAGGTTGGCATTGTACAGTATACTGTTTATACCAAGGGTTGTGTCCCTAGAACAGGCTGGTACTGTACTCTACAAACAAAGTCAGGTTTCCATAGTAAAAGGTGGGTTATTTTACACTATTACCTACAGCCTGTACTGTATTAAGGTTCCATAATGTAAACAGTTGGTGAGTTTGTACTGGAAAATACAGCATATTAATTTTTGTTAATATAACTGTTCTGGAAGGGATATTAGTGTGTACCTTACATAAATTCAGTGGCGTGACTACACTATATGACTTGGGTGAACAAAAGTTGGGTTACCATATGGTGTACATATTTAAATTTAATTTAAATATATTAATATCCTGGAAGTTTGTCTTGAACCAAAATAATAATATACACAATATATTAATATATTTTAATACAAACATGCCGGAGAGGATAATACAGTACAGTGCCAAGTAAACATTATGTAAGTCAGTGGTAAGGCTGTACACATTTAGTATGCATTTCTGATATACTCAAACAGTTAGATTACCAAATACTGTATAAACTTGAAGTTAAATGTCTTAATACATTACCTACCATTTCTGGTTTGTTGTTATTGGACAAAATACCAATTTACAAAACATAAATACAGTACTGTACAGTAGTTTTGTTAATTCAAATGAGATGGAGGGGATATTTAATTTGTTAATAAATGTCTGCATTGGAACAGAGGTATTAATAATGTATAAGCTATACTGTACATTATTAGTGCCTTTGTTTCAACTCAACACTCGTATTTATTAATACTGTTCAATGCTTATGTAGAGGTGAAGATTTTAACATGTTACCAGATATATATACAGTGGTTATATAAGGCAGACAGAGTACTGTACTGTACTGAGCCTTGTTATAAGCACACTTAGGTCTAAAAAACATCTGTCCACACACTGTGTGAAACATTATGAGACCACGGATGATGGATATTGGGGACATGCATTTACTTGTACTTTGGTACTGTACTGTATATAGTTTAACATGAGGAATGCAATGTTTATTTATTTTGGTGTAATTATTATGATATTTGATTATCAAATGTAGTAGGATCAGTATGCCACACATACCAACCCTCCTGAGACATCACGAGTTGCATGTAGCTTTTCGGAAGTTATTGGACCCATCCTAGCAGATACTTTAAGATACTGTACAGTACACACCCATAAATATTGTACAGTGCATTACTTTGTACAATGAAACCCTAGTAATGAGACTAATGGAATGACTTATAAGCGCATTGAGTAGTGTAAATGTTAGGTTGGAACGAGTAAGGTAGAGAGGGAGGGAATCGGCCAAAGACAGTGTGACCCAAAACCATAAGATTCAGTTGATCATCACAATTGTAAAGGAAGCAAGTTTGTACTTCTGTGTGAGTGTATTATGTGGTGCTTGGGTTTATTACACGGGCCAAAAGGCATAATTGTGGGGTGTTATAATTTCTGTCTCTTTGAAATGGGAAGGACATCTTATTGTGTAACTAGATGATGCATTAGTGCAAGCATGCATTGCTTTTTCTCTTTCACCCTAAACAGAATTTATACATCAATACTTGTGTGAGTGAATAAATTAAAGAATGAGTTTGATCCATGTGCTTTAATACTGTACTGTGTAGGAAGCCAGTGTAGTACTGTATGTCTTCACTGTGGATTTGAGTGTGTTAATAATGTAAACAAGTTATATCATCTTTTCATACCTTTCTTCATACTTGTACTGTATAGAATTAAATTCTATAACTGTACTTAAATAGTCATTTTATTCACATAAAACACAAACAAACAACCTAAAACCATTCAAGTTATGTGAATATCTCTCCCTTGTTTCAGGATGTGTTGGTCCCAGTGTTTGAGAATGGAGAATTGCTTAAAGACTACACCCTGGAGGAGATAAGAGAAAAGGCAGATCTGAGCCCAGAAGATATTGATGTTTTCAAGTTTTTGGCTGAAGAAAAAACATAATTATCTCACGAGTTATGGTAAATTTCATTGAATTTTCATTGGTTAATTATGCAAATACAGTAACTTCAAAATTAAGGTGGATAGTCATCATATGTTAGGATTGGCAGTCTAGCCCTGGTAGCCTTCCCAGTTAATCAATTACTTTATGGTGCTCTTATTGGTACTAAAAAAAAAAATTAACACATGTTCTTTGTCACTTTAGATTTGTTTTTCTTAATTATTAAAATACGTACGTGTACAGTAAATCTACATGATATTTTCATGGGCAAACTGCTAATATGGAGAACTTCAGGAAAGGATGATGTTTTATACCCATCATGGGGCTTCTCTACTCAACCAGTCACAAGTTGTTCTCACCTGAGCCAGTCAAAATTATGTAATCACATTTGGTTAGTATGGGTTCCTCACCCACAAGCTCAGGGGTGTACTGGATGTGAGGTTCATTTTTTATAAGGGGGGAAGCCCTCACACTCATCACACATTTTATATGAAATTCCCATTAGTGAACAATAATAATGGATTAAAACATTACGCCAGACCTCTAAAAATATATTACGGGTACACCACCGATTTTCCGGACCAACCAAGGGCAGGTAATAATAATTCAACAATACACCTCTGACCCATTAATGATACACCTCCTGTGTTTAAAGCACTATGGACAGCTAGAAACTTAAGTTATACAAATATTAAATGTAAATTAAATGTGAAAAAGCCATAATTTTGAGCAACATTACTGGACACACTTTGTACTCAATGTACTACATTAAACTAAAATTTTTATCTATTGTGCAAACTATGTGATGTTTATACTCATATTAATTGCTATCTTACAAGAATTCCAGCAATGTAAGTTATATTCTGCTAAGTCTAGTCAGCTACATTTTATAAGATAAAAACTTTAAGCCTAAAACTAGCTTTGCCCTGGCTGGGAGGGAGGGAAGTTAAGTGCTCCCTCATAATTTTGTCCAGACTAAAGAAGGTGCTGGACCACCAGTTCCCAGAAATCGGTGGTGTACCTATAGTATGGAAAAGTCCTGTCATTTAGTAGATTTTACACTGATGGTTCATTTAGCAGAATTTCCACTGATGGTTCCCAATAATAATAAATATCAATTGAAAATCCCTTCAGTTGGTGGAAGGAGCGTGCTAGGTGAGGGTCCACCAACAAGAGGTATTAATACATAAGTGCTTCAAAATTCATCAGTATAATGATGATATGGAAGCCTGGACTTAAATAGCATAAAAAGAGGTTAATTATTATTTTTTACTTATTGTTCAGATTAAGAATGAACATCCCAGTATTCCCAAGATTCTCAGTTGATCAGTCCAGCCTTTCATTTTTTTTCAAGATAAGATGCTGAGTACTTAAATTCATGTAGGCATATGATGTACTTACATTTAAATAGCTCTTGCAAGTATTGGATACGACAACAAAAGCCTTGTGTAAATAGCTTATTAAACATAAATATTAGAACTAGAACTCTACAATCTCTTGACCATCAATTGACACCATTGTTCTTCAGGAGTAAATGAGAGCCACTTTAAAAATGACTATTGGATAATTACTACACTTGAGCCAACTTCATACCAAACAATCCTATTGGAGAACATGCCATAATTCTCTCTAAAACTGAGTTGAACCCATTTAGGCTACAAAAAAATATGAAAGAAACTATTTTTATCATGATTTACCTGATTACAACTTAATCAAGGGCCATAACTCTAAACAATTCAAACAACAGTCACACTTAAACTTTCAATCCAAAATGAAACTACAGTAATTCAATCGACTCATTGTAACAGAAAACAATTCTTTAAAGGTCAAATGGACAGCATTATTGCATAATTACACCCTGTATTTATTTATTCAAAATCTTCAGAGGTCATATCAAGGATTTAACATTGGTATGTTGTATGACATTGTTTTTTGAACGTGTGTGTATAGGGGACATTTATAGTGTCAGAATGCTTTGTGTCCTGCCTCTTTGTAACTCCCAAATTAAATGAAATAAATAAATTGAGTGTGTTAGGAATACAGTACTGTACTTGTAAATGAAGTTTTCTGTGTGTTAAAGGGGAGACATTTTAGGACAATAAACCCTATGAATGTCTTATTTACACACAGGTTCCAAACATAGTACAGTATACAGTGACCCCTCCGTTAACGAACTCAATCCGTTCCAGAAGGTCGTTCGTTAACCGAAAAGTTCGTTAAGTGAAACCATTGTTTCAATGGGTTGTTGGGTAATTGGTTCCAGCTCACCGAAAATTTCCTAAATTCAACAAAAATGGTAGAAAAGTTCATTTACTTTGAGGTGTGTATGTAGAAGGCTCCTGGATGATGATGATGATGGGATTTAGAATGGGGGTGGAGGAGAAGGAAGAAGAGAAGGCATTGGGGTGGAAGAGAAGTCACCCCATGCTGCCATTTCACCCATAAAATTTTAGCTCTCTTGGTGTAATTCAAGATTATTTTCTTTAAATCAACACTGCACTGCATTATATATTGTCAATATGTAAAATATATTTCAAAATGACCAATAATTTGCTTGGAAACACAGAAAAAAGCGTTTAGTTGAAGAGAGTCTCAAGCAAGATGTTACCTCCAGTGAAAACAGAGAGAGACAGTAACTCCTGTTTGCTGTGTTAAGAGGCTGGATGCCGCGCATTAAACTAGTCACTTTACCTTCAATTATGTTCAATAATTGTTAAAATGACTAAAAATTGAATATTAAACTTTAAAATTATTGAATAGTATAAACTTCTTGATATTTACTAAAATAGTAAGGAATTTAAGCCCTAGATCCGATTAATGTATTGGCGGACTGATACTAAAGCTGGTTGCCTGGTCAGTGCAAGCGAAAACATGTTGAGGTCGGTTACGTAAGAACTTCGTTAATCGAATTTTTTTCGTTAACGGAATTGAAGATCCTTATGGAAGGCAGTTCGTTAATCGAAATTACGTTAACCGAGGTGTTCGTTAAACGAGGGGTCACTGTACTGTATATTGTACAAACTCTGAACCCCTGATATGAACTCATATCAAGTGAATCACAAATAATTAACCCCAAATATTCACCAATATTATTTTTATAATACAAGGGGTCCCCGACTTTCGAACGTCCGCCGATACAAACAAGGTTAAACTTTAAATTTACAGCTAATAATATTTGCTTAAAAAATTAAGAAAATTCGATCTGAGAATCTTGTGGCAGTCCTCATTGTAGTTGAGTTGCCAATTCGTTAATATAATTTTTTCATTATCTAAGCAAATATATGGACATTTGGAAATTTCTGATGATCATAAATAGCAATGAATAGTTATCATAAAAATTCTACCATTGGATTGTTTAATATTGATTCTGACAGTAATACAGCCAAAAATAGATCCACCAATCACAATCACCTTTACATACAACCTTCCTTTACCAAGTATTGTCAGGTAAAATTGCCAGTACGAGACCCAGGGTGGGTCTTTGACCGACTTGAGAACATCCTCTGGAATGGAATCCATTCATAACCGGGGACCCCCTGTACACAGTACAAGGGTTTATAAAGTTTTACATGTGTGTTCATGTTTCTCACAAGTGTGCCAACAATCATCACATTAAGTTTCTACAATATGTTCAGTACTGTAGATTGATACAGTATATGCAGTGGTGGGCACAGCTAAACGAAAAGTTAGCTTTGTTAATCTGCTAACTAAAAAGTTAACTTCGCGAACACTAAACAGCTAAAAAAAAATAGCGGAAGCTACCGCTAACTTTTATTATATGAATTTAGCTTCTTTTATTTTTTTTGGAGGGGGGGCTCTAAAGCCCTTAAAAACACACATAGAGAGCCGAAATTTTCATATGTTGTCTTGTAGCTTAGACATAGAGCTTTCCAAAAAGGTATAGCATGCCAAGATCAGATGATGATCAAGGTGTACACAAATAATAAAATGAACAAATGAAATTAAACCTTAGTTTACATTCAAGTCTCAACACACACTTTATAATCTTTATTTGCTGTACGAAAAGACATAAAGTATTAAACGAATCCAAAAACTATAGTACTGTATAGCATAGGTAGCAAATAGCATCATGCCAAGATCAGATGATGATCAACTTATCAAGGTGTACACTGTTCACAATTTCACAAATAATTAATTTGCATTCTCATACAACCTATTGGCATTATTCATGTAAATATGCAATACCAACCACATACACATTATACCAGTGCATTTTTATATAACTTCTTGTTGGTATTAGTCATTATACCAGTGCATTTTTATATAACTTATTGTTGGTCTTAGTCATGTAAATAAACAGAAAACTCTAAACTTTAATGAAAAGTAAGTTTTTAGAAAATTTTGTTTGGCGCACACCTTGGATGACATCCTGGTTATGAACTTATGCAGTGTACTTAGCATAACCAAATATATTGACACAAAAAAATCCTAATTAAATTAACAAATAAATGAGAAATAAAATTATACATTAGTTTACAATTACATTCGTATGATTCTTTCAACATACACTGACAGTCTTGTCACGTTTACACGTACTAACAGCCAGTCAGCCAAGCGTGCCTGACTGGCTGTTGGAGACACGTCGCGGCGTCACACGCTTACAACAGACAGGAACAAACATGTATAAATTTTGTTAGCGGAACTAAATTTAGCGGAAGCTAATTGGTCCGCTAATAGTTTCCAAAGTTAGCGAAAACGCTAATCCGCTAACGAGAAAGTTAGCTTCGCTAATTAGCGGATTAGTGGAACCTTACCCACCACTGAGTATATGTATCCAGAGATGATTTTATTCTATTCTTATTAATCTATGATTTTAGACAATTTTACATTTTAGAATGAAAGTTTATATGATGGTTTTTAGTGTGAATGGATTTTTTTAATATTTATGAGTGAAAATCAAATTTTATATACCACCGACTTATACAGTATATGGATGTGTTGGAAGGCAGATGACAATAATTTAAGAGGTATAAAATTGGTGTTTTACAGCACATTTGT